CGGGCGGACCGGAAGCCGCGAGAGGGAACCGGAAGGAGCGCGTCCTTCCCGCCTCCCCGGCCTCGCCCGCTCCCTCTGGCGCCCCTAGCGGGAGGGGCCGGCGCGGCGCCGGCCGGCCAAGCAGGGCGCTGTGCGGCTAATCCCGGAGCAGGTGCGCAGAGAGGCCTCGTGGATTCGCGCGTTTTCCGCAAGATAAATCCTGAAGGCCACGGTTTATTCAGCGCTCAGATGGCGTCAGACGACATTTTGTAGAAAAACCTCACCCGTGCGCGGGTGCAGCCGGCGCTTCAGGAGTCGTGCGGGTGTCGGGAGCCTCGGGGTTCACGCGGGGCCGCGGGTGCAGACGCGCCCTCGGGCAGAGCTCAAAGCGGCGACACCAGCGGATTCCTACCCGAGACAGGCGTCACTAAACATCAGAGAAGCCTCTCAAGAAAGAGACCTTGCACAGAACAACGCGGACAGACCTCTAGCTGGCCGTCGGTGCAACACGACGTTACAGGGGGTATCGGCAGAAAGACCTCGTGAGTGTCGTGCGTGTGGAAGGGTCCCCCGCGCTTGCTGAGGCTCACATCAGAAAACACAGGAGAGAAGCCAGGGTGCGAACTGGGCGCAGAAGCCGTCGGTGGACGCTCTGGCTCACGTGAGGCCCCCCAAGGTAATAAATGTGAAGAGGCCTCCTGACCTCATGCTGGGGTGGGGGAGAGGACTAGGCATGCAGGGCACAGGGGCATGCAGGGCACAGGGGCATGCAGGGTACAGGGAGAGGCATGGAAGGCCCACACTGGGGAGTGCTGGGAACGTCACCCGCGCAGCGAAGCCTTTCACCACCGCTGCTCACTCTAACAATCTGAAAAATCGCCAAACCTTTAGGCAAAGATCTCACGCCCTGAAACGCCAGGGGGAAGCAGGGCAGTGAAATGCCCCTTCCCTCATGTTCACAGCAGACACAGCCAAGGGATCCCCCTCAGTGAGCCCATGGGAGACGGAGGACTCTGCAGGCCGGAGAATCTCCTTGGGACTATGGCCTCAGAATGGTGGCACGTCCCTGGGAGACAGGTACTCTTTTCCTACAGCAACTTCTGAGGCACCGTGTGCAGACAGTGCCAGGTGACACCAATCACAGACATCTCAGCGCTCAGCCTGTGCCCTCATTAATCCTCATTCCTAAGAGGGTTAAGCGCCTTACCCATAAGCTGAGTGCAGTCCAACTTGGTGGGACTCGAGGGTGAGAGCTGTCTGCAGCAGCTGCTATGGGCTCCACCAAGAAATCCAAGGGAGGACTTCTCTGCAGGGTCTATTAAGACTCTGGCTACAGTTCTGTCCACTTTTCACAGCCTTGTCCTCCCCTTTGGTCATGCTGTATCTCTCCCGTGGATGGCCAAGTGCCTCCCTGCTCTGGGTTTTGGAGGTCTCACTCTGATCGCATTCAATTCCTGTGAAACATTGGCCTCTCATAAGACCCCTTTGCCTTGCATTTTCTAGGATCTTGTTTCCTGGGGTCATGGGAAGCCACTAAGCGGCCATAGGAAGGGCCTTAGATACCTGAAGGAGTGATTGTGGCCAGGGTCCTACTCCTGCCCCCTGCCATTCTTTTCTAAACGTTCGGTTCCTTCAGCTGGTCCGAGGACTTGTGGACTGACCTCAGTGCTGGACAATAACTTTTTAACACCAGTCTAAGCCAGCACCGGCCGTCTTCTCCAAGACCACTCCACCAGCCCAGGGCTTGACTCCCGTGTCCTTCCCACCCCACAGAGAGAGACGTCTCTGACCCACAGCCTGTCCTGTGGCCTCCAGGACCCTCCACACTGGACCCCTTGCTCGCTCAGTCTCTGCCTCAGCACCCTCTCAGAGGACCCTCACCACGTCCGACCAGCACCGCGGACAGCACCAGCCGCGCCGCACCTGCCCTGGGCTTCGCCCACCGGTCCCTCGGCCTGCCCCCTGCCGGTCGCTGAGCTTCCCAGAGCACTCGGAAGTGCCCCGCATGGGGCTGGCCGCCGTCCTGAGCCCACGTCGGGCCCTCTGATCCCGGCATCTGCCAGGCGTGGAAGGCCGAGCCAGGCTTCCCTTCTCATGCCTTTCCCGCCGTCCGCGGTGTACGGAGGTCGCTGCACAATGTGAAAATCGCAGAGAGGCTGTTTCCCTCCGTGGGAGCCTCCCTCTGGAGCTGGGACAGATCTGCCGAGGGGCAATCGCAGCCTCTGTCCCTGCACCTGCGTGGCCTGACTGGGGACATGGCCAGGATGTCCCCGCTGCCAAGGCTGGAGAGCGGCCTACCTTGCTGGACTTGGCCATTCTGCTATGGCCTCTGGCCTCCCAGCCACGCAGACCCCGCAGAGAGCTTCTGGGCTCTCAGCCCAGCCCCATCCCCACGAGCTGGGCGTCTGTTTTCCTCAGGACCCAGCCAGGGTTGGGCGAAGTCCTCATCCCAGCCGATGGCAGCCCTGTCTCCTTCTGTGACCTCGCCTCCCGCCAAGGGGACGCGGCCAGGCTCGCCTCTTCAGGAGGCCAGGATACAGCGACACGGCACTCCCCTCCCGAGCCCTGATCTTTGTTCCTGGGACACAGGCCCTGACCCTGATGATCTCCCGCTCAGGCAGCCTCCCTGGGCTCTGCCTAACCCCACCACACCCTGCAGCCTGGGGCCGGGGCTCAGAGTGCCCGGGCAGCTTCCAGATCTCAGGGAGGAAAGTTGAAGTCGGTCCTCAAGAGCACAGGGTTGTGACAGAGTCCTTTTCCTCCAGCAGCATCTATGTGTGCTTTTTAAAGAAATTTGAAAACTAGGAAAAACAAGACACCAAAAAATGTTTTTTTCTCATCAGCAACTATAGGGAGCCGTTTACTCGCGTCTTCAGCCAGTTCTTGCTTTTAAAACAAATCGACTCCATGCTTAACTCGCCCCTAAAATAACCCTGGTGTCCTGAGGTCTCAGGTGTGCCAGGCGGCAGTGCTGGAAGCCGCACCCCTCCGTCGGGGATGGTTTACCTGCATCCTGATTTAGTGGGACATGGAGGCTCAAGGAGGCCCTGCCCACAGCCGTGATTTGAACCCAGATCTCAGATTCTGGAGCCTGGCACTTCCCCCAGGATGGTGTCCTACCTCCCCCTCCCCCATCCTCCCTCACAGTTTGCTGTAACCATAAGTGGCTGCACATTTTCAAGGAGGACACCTGGATGGGGATCAAACAAGCAGAGGAATTTGCGGGGTCTTCCAGATTCCACTTCAGTGTCTGTGGAGTGCCCCCAAACTCCTTTCCAGTGGGCTTTTACCCCACTTGCACTGTCCCCAAATGTGTCCCTGTCATGGGAGGGGGCAGTCTGGCCAGCTGCACATGCTTGGTCAGCAGCCCTGGACATTGCCTAGGGGCACGTTGTGCAGGCAGCACAGCTGGGCTTGGCAGAGGGCCTCGGCATCGGGAGGACAGTCCGCAATGAGCCCGGCTGCTGGTGGCCACCCTCAGCAGAATTTCTGGAGCTGGTCTGCTCCAGTCACTTTGTCACACAAACCCGTTATTCATTCACCCGCTGGTTCAACACAGTATGCCGGGCCCCTGGTGTGATGGAAAACAGTGGTCCCCGCCCGGGAGGAGCCAGGAGGTTTCCCACAGCATGGGAGTGCAGGAGGGGACAGATGTGTAGGTGTCCAGATGTGTGCATGGGGCAGAAACTCGTGGGCTTGTCATTTGCCCTAGCTGACTTCCATCCCATTCTTGGGTCTCAGGCAGGCTCAGTCGTTTGCCTGAAACTATGGCGGTACCGGCTGGGGCTAGCATTGGACCCCGAGTGTCCCTGGCCCCATGCTGGCATGCCACATTCTGTGTGCAGTGCTTCTGCGAGGCTGCAGACCCGCAGACAGCCCTGTGGGATGAGGCAGCCCTCGTGCACAGGGCAGTGTCCAGCCGGTGCGTGGTGCGGAGCTGCGGTGCACAGTTTCTGGGTGACGAGGGAGTGACACGTGGGCTGTAGTGGGGTAAATTGCCCACCCAGTCTGCTGCCTGGAGAGAGGGCACTGCAGTGGCAGAGCAGGAGATGCTGATGAGGTTCCTGAAGGCTCTACAACAGCCTGTGGCCTTGACACTTGAAGACAGCCTGGTGGGTGTAGAATTCTTGGGGCGTGTGGTTTTGGTTTGGGGTTGTCTCTGCAGCCGAGCCCAGCCCCCAACCTCTTTCTCTGAGTCGCGCCTCTCCAGCCTGGGTGTCCACACCTTTCTTCCCTTATCCCCAAAGCTGAAGGGCTGCACCAAGGTAAGTACTGGTGTCGACAAGTCTGTACTAATTTTTCCTGAGATAGGTGTTTTTCTTTTTCTTAAATTAGGATATAACTTATGCAGTTAAAATGCCTAAATCAAGTGCACTGTCAGACTTTTTTTTTTTTTTTTTTTTTTTTGGACAGCTGGCCAGTACGGGGACCGAACCCTTGACTTTGGTGTTACCAACAGAGCTCTAACCGAACTAACCGGCCAGCCCTCAACTTTTTACATGTTTACACTCTTGTATATACACCCAGATCGAGACATGGAGCTTTCCAGAGCCTGCCCTCCCAGGGTCCCCCCGAGGTGACCACTGTTCTAGCTTCTAGATGGTCTCGTCTGCTTTCAGACTTCCCGCAAATGGAATCACAACGCACACTAGTTCGTGCCTGATTCTTGCGCTCAGTTTGAGGTTAGTCCCCTGTCGTTCCGTGTGTCCGTGGCTGTTGGCTCTTTCTTGACCACTGTGCGGTTTCCCGTTCTGTGTTCTTTTGATTTACAGCTTCAGGTCTGCACTGCTGAGGAATTTTATTCCTATTCCATAACTGAAGGACCGGGCTGCTGCCGCTGTCCCTTTGCTGGTCCATTCTCAGAAGAACCATCTAGAAGTATCTGCCTGGTCTTTCTCTGCCTTCTGTATCTTCATGTTTTCTCTTACCAGTTCTTCTGTTGTACTTTCCCCATCTTGTTTTGCGAGGTTCCCCGGAATCTGACTTCACTTTCTGTTTTGTTAATTAAAGTTCTTGCTGCTTCTAATGTGGTTTTCACTTCTGATAATGCCTTTCCTTTTCATAGGAATAAAGTATTTAGCAATCTAAAATATTTAACAAAAATGTTCTAAGGAAGAATTACTAAGAAATCAACATACAATGAAATCCTAGTAAATTATTTTAACTTGTATTTTGAAGACAAATTTGAAAATTCTACATAGTTTTCCAACACGGTGTTCGTTTGCTTCGACCCAGTTTTTGTTTTGAGGTTTCTTCAGTCACTGTCCCCATCCCAAGCCTGTCATGTCCTTTCTGAACTAGAGCCCTCTGGTGGGTGCAGGGGCTTCGAGCAGGAAGCCAGTGTCAGCGCACAGCCCCTCGTTCCCGGACAGCCGCACACTCTCCCCACCGCGCTGTCCTTTCCCAAACTCCTGCACATCCTTCCGGACCCACTCAGACCCGGCTCAGAGGCACTCTCCTGACAGCAAGTCCACTGCTCCCTTGTCACTGCCCCTGATGTGGCCCCTCCACACCTGCCACGCCGTGCCCGCTGTGCCCCCACGTCCACCTCCCTTCTCCTTTGTGAGGACCCAAGGGCAGCCACCATGGTGTTCCAGCCATCTTTAGGTGTGTCCCCAGCACTCACCACAGCAGGAGCGAATGCTCTCGGGTCAGTTCCCCCTGACTCCAGGGTACTGATGTGCAAGTCAGGACTGGCCTGGCCACTGCCGGGTCTTGGTGCACTGTGACTGCAGCTTCCCGCCGGCTGTGCATCCTCTGCTCTCAGGGCCATGAGTGTACCTCCCCTTGAAGCCTCTCACACAGCCCAATTACTGCCTCACAGATTCAGTGGGGCAGGCGTCTGTCACCTCCCATAGAGTGATGGAGACTCAAAAGATTACTCAGGGCCCATGTATTGAGAGCAGTGAGAAGCCCGAAGGGACTGCACCGAGGGAAAACTCCTTCCAGAGAGGAGAGCCCAGGCACAGCCCCGAGTCAGTTTTTGCTTCAGTTTTATTGTAACGACAAGAAAGTTACAGAAGAAAAACAGATGGATAATCAATCATAGTGAAAACATAAACGAACTGGCTACATGACAAACTTGATTTAAGCATGTGTAGCTTAAAATAGTTCAAGCAATTTACCATCAAAAGGAGCCATAAGGGGCGGGCCCGTGGCTCACTTGGGAGAGTGTGGTCCTGCAGCACCAAGTCAAGGGTTAAGATCCCCTTACTGGTCATCTTTCAGGAAAAAAAAAAAAAAAGGAGCCATAAAACTAAGCTATGTGATGAATGAAAAGAAACAATGAAATAATCACCAAAGCGCCTAACTCCCCAAGAAACTCAAACGAACAGCTTAGGGCAAGATGTGGAACGTCCCCCAGGTGCTAACTAACCTAGCGGAATATCCTTGGAGATTTGAGCTCACACGCTTTCCCATCACTCAGGTTTAGCTGCTCCGAGGGCAACTGCCCCAGAGCAATGCCTTTTCACTGTGCTTCAATTCTCGTATCAGCATCAAAGGCTTTAGTCCTATGAAAGTTTTCTGGGCTTTCTCAATCTTAGCACTCCTTCACGTTTTCCTAAAGGGTTGGGTTTTGGCCCCCTAACTAGAGGCTTTGGCCTCCTAAACTACAGTCTTCGGCCTTCTAAACTAAGGACTTTGGTCCTGGGAAATACATGTGTTTTATTTCTATCTCATTGATAACTTCTTAGTCAATATCCTCTACAGGAGTGGCTCAGCTGGAGTCTCTGCCCAGGGCCTCAGGCTACAGCCCACGTGTCTCCGGGCTGTGCTCTCACCTAGAGCCCAGGAAGTGACCAGGAGCAGGTGGACGGCCCGAGAGGCTCGAAAAGCATCCCAGGAGCAGACTGCCCTGTCCCTGCAGTTTTCTGGGCTCGCCCAGCCGTCACCTTCCTGTTAGGACAGGAGGCAGAAGCCCACACCTCCCGTGCCCTCCTTCAAGCTCCTGAATCCCACAGCTGGGGACTAGCGCTGCGGTGGCGGTGACCGGCAGTGCTCCCGCCATGCCCGCCCCTCCCTCACCTTGACCCCAAATTCGCCACCGACGCAGTGAGATGGTCACACCTCCCACAGGGTCCCCCCAGCCTCTGGCTCCGTCTGGCGACATCTGCCTCCCTCTCTGGTTTCAGACCACGAGGGAGACCAGCCCACGTGGCGGAGCCGCAGGTGGCGCGCTACCAGCGACACCCGCCCAGGAACGCGCCCCACAGGGCCAGCCCTTATCCTAGGCCCGAGGCACCAGGGAGGGCCCGACGCCCGTGCCTGACTTCGTACAGCCTTGCGGCGCCCGCTGGTTTTCCGTGGTAGATATGCACACAGCACAGTTACTGTCTGGCCTTTTCCAAAGAGCGCGAGCGTGTGCACCACGTGCTCAAACCTGCACAGGCTGTCCCCTTTGCTGACATCGGCCGCGGGACCGCGTCTTTGCAGCCGGCCTTTGCGGGCGGAGGCATCGCCCAGCCCGGAACTGGGGGCAGCCCCCGCGGGTCCAAGGGGGGCTCGGGAAGCCGGGGCGGAGGGGGCTGCTGACTTCTAGAGGCTCAGGGCGCTGAAACGAGTTAGGCCTGGAAGGAGGGCCAGAACGGAGAGGGAAGCGCACAGCAGCACAGGGGACAGGCCGGGCGCGCGACAGATCTTATTTGGGAAGGGGGTGCAGGGGGTGCTGCAGAAAGAAGCGCGCCAAGATCGGACTTGAGTGCACCGAGCATCGCTTGCTGGAGAGGGGCAGGTGTTCGGATACCACAGATGTTTCACGGGGGTACAGAGGGAAACTTTCATTTATGTTTTTTGACCATTCCCTTTAAATGCTTGAAGTTTTACTTGTGTTTTATAATTTTTAATGATTTGTTACAAATAAATATGCAGCGTGGCGGGCACGTGTGCAGACGTTCTTACTGCTGCAGTGTGCAGTGAAAAGCTTCCAAGCACGAGACGTCAGCGTGGCTTCGGGGGAGACCCAGGTGCAGTGGCCCAGTTAGGGCAGGGGGCAGGCACATGGCGGGGTTGCAGTGGGGGCTGCGCTGGGACTGCAGGGAGGCACCAGAGAGGACCTGGGCTCCCAGGAACTGGCAGGAGCCAGGGGCCACGAGGTCACTGAGCTTCCTGGGGCTGCCCAGCCTTCTGCACCCTCAGGAGGGTTGCCTCGTGGTACTGCAAGCTGGGCGGGTGTCCAACGTGGGGCACCCTTTTCCGCATTCTGCCCTCTGCTCTTGCATTCTGAAGCTATTTCTGGAAGAAGAGGTAACTGTTCTGGCTGTGGGTGGCTGTTCAGAGGGCCCGGGTTCCTTATCTAAGCCTGACCACCTTAGGCAAAGTGGCAGCATAAAGGCCTGTTCACTTCGGTCTGTCTTGGGCAGCACATGGGCTTGTGAGGACCCTGAGGCAGCTCACGGGATCAGAGGAGGAGCTCCCGGTTTACTGGCTGGGTCAGTGCCTTGATGGGGATGCTCTGTCTGCTACCTCCTGCTTCTCGTCTCCACAAGGCTCCTTTGCCTCAGTCTCTGATGGAGTTTGGATGTGTTGTCCCCTCCAAAACTCATGTGGAAATCTGATCTCCAATGTGGCAGTGTTGGAAACTGATTGAGTCAAGGGGGCGGATCCCTCATGAATGGATTAACGCTCTCCCTGGGGGAGGGGGGATTAGTGAGTGAATTCTTGCTCTATTAGTTCCCACGAGAGCTGATTGTTTAAAAGACCCTGGCACCTTCTCTCTCTCTTGCTTCCTCTCACCATGTGACCTGCTTGTACCCGCCATCTGCCTGCCACTTTCCGCCATGAGTAGAAGCAGCCTGAGGCCTGTGCCAGATGCAGCTGTCCCAGAATCATAAGCCAAATAAACCTCTGTTCTTTATAAATTACCCAGTCTCAGGTATTTCTGTTATAGCAACACAAACTGACTAATACAGTCTCCGACTGCTGCTGGCCTTGTCCTGACAGCATCTCAGCCTAGGGCTGCAAAGGATGGAGACTTTGCTCTCTCCCAGCTGCTGGGAGAGCCCCTAGAGAGACTAGGCATAGGCCCATTCTTGGGGGGAAAGGGGGTAAGAGTTGCAGAATGATCTGGTGGGAATTGAGGCAGAGGTGCTTTTCCCATACAGAAGACGGTGCTGTAACGGAATTCATGAGGATGGGTCCCGAGCAGAACCCAGCAAAGGGCCCCTTCAAATGCCTCCCTGAACCCCATGGAAGAGAAAGCCAAAACAGATCCCATGATTAAGTCATCATTCCAGTCATCTTAATGAATGACAGCCGGACGCCTGGTTGACAGAGCACACATTTGCATGATAGAAAGCTGGGAAATGTGGGAGCCTCTGCAGAAGAAATCACGGGCTGTCTTAGTGTGCCAGTGCAGTCACTGCTGGCCTCTGTGTCTGGGTCATCTGAGAACACTCTATGCAATTTTATAAGACTTGTGACAAAACCTGTTTTTCCTATTATATAAGCAGAGTAGAAAATTTGGAAAACGAAGAGTAGAAATCCTGCTAGTTGGCACCCATGGAAAAAATGCAGTCTTTTTTTTTTTTTTTTTTTTTGGTGGCTGGCCAGGCCTTGAACCCTGGACCTCGGTGTCACAAGCACCCGGCTCTAACCATCGAAATAACCAGCCAGCCCGGAGAGGCACTCGTCATTTTTTATGTCTACACCGATTCTTTTTCCCTCGACGTTTTCAGAACGGCTTGCACACAGGTGTCTGCAGGCACCGTAGCACTCTAGTGTGCATCTCCTCTGCTCAGGGACAGTCTCTTACAAAAGCACAGTCGAGTCACCCAACTCGGGTGACAGGACAGCGACGGATGCGCCAACGAAGCCCAGATCGCAATTCCGTGTCTGCCCCCAACCTCCCCCACGGAACCTTCCCTCTAGTCCAGCGTCCAGCCAGGGCTATGTCTCGCCTCCCTCTGTCGCCGTGTCCCCTCAGCATTCTTTGATGCGGGTCGGGTCGGCAGCTTTTCTCTCCCCGGGAGATGACCCATTAGTTGCCCAGACGAAAAACGACGACCGTACAGTGGGAAGCCCAGTGAAGAGCCCACGGACGCGACGTTCCTCCAAACGTGGCGCCCTGACGGTCCCCACTTCTGCAGAGTCCAGCGAGGGGGACAGGGCAGGCGCCACGGCAAGAC